TCCGCAGGAGCCACTTTCCAACGCCTACTGGACAAGGTAATACCTCCTGATATGGAATTCGCGTTTGCCTACTTGGATGATATCGTAGTAATATCTAAAACGCTCCAAGAGCATTTAAATCACCTACAGGAAGTCTTCCGAAGACTGAAAGAAGCCAAGTTACAGCTGAACTTTGAAAAATGCACGTTTTGCCAGTCAGAACTCAGATACTTAGGACATGTGGTTGGAGCAGAAGGAATAAAAACTGACCCGGAGAAAACCAACGCTATAACCGGACTTACAGCACCGAGAAATGTGCGTCAACTCCGCCGGTTTCTAGGAATAACATCATGGTACCGCCGATTCATAGAGAACTATTCGACAATAGCAGGACCGCTAAACATGCTTCTGAAGAAGAAGATAAGATGGAAATGGACCGATAAGCAAGAAAACGCGTTTGAAGAGCTAAAATCAAAACTTACATCGGCCCCAGTATTAGCATGCCCCGATTTTTCAAAAACATTTTACCTGCAAACAGATGCGTCGAACTGCGGACTTGGAGTCGCACTAACACAGAAGTACGACGGCCAGGATAAAGTAATCGCATATGCTAGTCGAACCCTCACACCGGCCGAGACAAAATATTCCACAACGGAAAAAGAATGTCTATCCATCGTATACGGGATAAAGCAAATGAGGCCATATATAGAAGGATACAATTTTAAGGTCATATCAGACCATCAGTCCCTCAAATGGCTGAAAAACCTTAAAAACCCGTCAGGTCGATTAGCCAGGTGGAGTTTAGAACTGCAACAGTACGATTTTGAGGTAATATATAGAAAGGGAGTCCTCAACAAGGTAGCAGATGCTTTGTCACGACAACCACAGGAAAACCAGAGCGAAGAACCAGAGTTGGAATTATTAGCATCAGAATTGGAATCATGCAGTTGGTACGATAATTTATATAGAAATGTACTCCAGAACCCAGACGATTTCCCGGATCTACAAATAACAAACGGGAAGTTATATAAACACATTTGGAGCAGCCGTAATTTAGCCGACCCAGAGTTTAATAACCCATGGAAGTTATGCGTACCAAGATATAAAAGGAAAGATATTTTGGAGGAAAATCATGACTCGACCACAGCAGGCCATTTAGGAATTGCAAAAACAATTTGCCGAATAGCGCAAAAGTACTATTGGCCTAAGATGTTTAAACAAATCGCAGACTACGTTAGAGCTTGTACGAAGTGCCTCCAATATAAACCGTCTCAAATGCAACCAGCCGGGAAAATGCAACCGTCCACTGTAGAAAAGCCTTGGCATACTGTCTCAGTTGATTTAATGGGACCATTCCCAAGATCTGCAAAAGGAAACATTTTCTTAATAGTCGCGCAAGACCGGTTTACCAAATGGGTCGTTGCCCAGCCAATAAGAGCAGCATCTACGAACTCCATCATCGACACTTTACGATCGAAGGTAATTATGCAGTTCGGCATCCCGACGAAAATCATTTCGGACAACGGCGCGCAGTTCACAAGCAGCAATTTTAAGGCGTTCCTAAAGTCCTATAACATAAATCACATTCTAACACCGCCGTACTCACCTCAAGGCAATCCAGTGGAACGAATGAACAAAGTACTGAAAACGATGATAGCCACATACGTAGAAGATAACCATAAAGACTGGGACAAATTCATACCAGAATTCTGCTACGCCGTAAATTCGTCAAGACACGATTCAACAGGGTTTTCACCAGCGCTGCTTAATTTCGGAAGAGAATTAGACACAACAGAGGCGACAAGTGGACAAGATATACAGGGGTATGCAGAAAACTTGAACAAGTTAGAAGCGTTAAGAGAACTGGCGAAAGTGCACATGGAACACGCTTTCGAGGACCAAAAGAAACATTACGATCTAAGACGAAGAGACTGGCGACCACATCCAGGAGATCGAGTCATGAAAAAGGAACACCATCTATCGTCGGCGAGTGCAGGTTTCACCAGCAAACTAGCGCCGAAGTACTCAGGGCCATACGTAGTAACGTCAGTAATATCACCGGTAATAGTAAAACTGAAATTGGCCGATAGAAATACCCGCAAGCAGATAACGGCACACGTAAAAGATTTAAAACCTTGGGTGGGGGAAAATGTCATTACACAAATCGAATCCCCACCACAACCAAACGGTATTTAAAGAGCGGTGCTAGCAAGCAAAATTCAGTTCATCCACATCTAACATGGAAGACATACTAGAGATACCAGAACAGATGACCCCTCTGGGAACGCCAGAGAAACCCGAACTGCCCGTGACACCAGGAAAAGACGCAGAGAAAATGTTGAAAAGATTCCACGAACTGTTTGGGACGCCACCAACACCACCGAAGAAGAAAAGCGTACCCGATACGATAACCGGACCTGAAGCACAGTCGGCATCCACTCCAGGCGAACCAGAACCCGGGAGACACGCCGATCTTGTAGAGATCGTCCCACAACACCTAATAGAGAGGGGGACCAAAAGATACAGATTGTACTGCAACAACGGGAAGAAGATCGTAATAAAGATTCCAAGAGGGATAAATGGCATTACAAGGCTGTAGACGCCATATACAAAAAAAAAAGGTATGCTACTTTTTTTTTTCCAAAGAGAAGGGGGTGTAACGATGTCATCACCGTTCAACAGCTTGAACCGTAGGAGTGTCAGCGTTGGCGCTTCCACCTCCTTAGCACGATGTGAGTGGGGTTCAGAGCAACTATTTAAGGCATATGAATAGCGGCATTTATTCAGTCTTTAGCTTAGCGCCTTAGGCTCCTCTCTTCGCCAGTGTCCTGAACTGGCGAGCCCACCCGGACGGAGGTAGTTCTGCTTTGAAGTTCATGCTCCGTCCATAATTAAGCAAAGTCTACCGATATCGTGTCTTGAACTTTATCGCGGACCTGCATAAGCGATTTTGTAGTTGACGAGTGTGTTCGCAGCTCCCGCTGGTTTGAAGCGGAAGCGAATATACGTCTGAGTGCGATTGACTACACCTATTTTATTTGTTATTAATAATTATTTTCTTTCTTTCTTTTATAGGCGTCCGCCGGGGATTCATTCATCGCGGGATCCAGACGGAGCGCAGAGTTAATTTCTACGGCACAGGATTTATTTTATTTTCATGTATATTGTACATATATTAGATCAATAGACATATTTTTATTTTAACCTGTGTTTTACTGAGTCTGTCGTCCTGAAAGAGCTACCCGTTACACTGTTTGACCCCAGTATAGGTTTGCCACAAGTCGAATGTCCTTGTCGTTAATACCTGTCTTTCGCAGAATATATATCAGTTGTTTATTATTGATCTTGTCAAATGCTTTTCTAAAATCTACAAAGCACAAATACACGTCCTTATTAACGTCTCTACACCACTGTATAAGCACCTGTGGAGCGAAAATTGCTTCTCTAGTCTCATTTTTATTGATTTTATTTTTTTGTGCATATTGTAACTGTCGTATTTTCGTTCGTATTGTTTTATTTCCTTGCATTCGTTGGAAAACCATTTTTCTTTGGCTTCTCGAATTTTCGTTCTTATGGTTTTGTGTATCTGCTGGTATTTTTCTGAATTTTTATTTTTGAATTTACGTCTTTCATCCATCATCTCCATATCCATTATCTCATCAGACATCCATTCTTTCTTCTTCCGTCTGTCACGCTTTAATAGAGCCGCGCATGTTGTTTGGATTGCTTCACCCGATTTATCCCATCTCTCTATAATGTCCGACGTGTTCTCGTTAATGTCGTTTATTTTCTTTCTTAGTTGTTCTCGTACTTTTATTTCGGTTTCTGGGTTAGTGAGTTTCTCAATATCGATTGTATTTAAATTAGATCTTTTCTCGAGCCATTTTACTCTCATGACCATTCTGCATACCAACAGATTGTGGTCCGTAGAAACATCGGCACCTGGGTACGTTTTTGATGATTTCATCATGTTTTTATATCTTATTGGTACTGCTATATAATCTATCTGATTCCTTATAATGTTGTCAGGTGAGTCAGCGGGAGATTTCCATGTGTAAAGTCGACGTTTGGGGAGCTTGAAGAGTGTATTACTTAACAGCAGATTATATTCCTGGCAGAAGTATATAAGTCTATCACCTCTATCGTTTCTCTGATCTAGGCCGAAGTTTCCCACGATCTCATACACCTTGCCTCTGCCAACCTTTGCATTGAAATCTCCCATCACTATTGTTACTTCATGTTTTTTTTTTGTTATTTTCATCAGGCTTCTCAGTTGTTCGTGGAATTCTGCGCTGGTTTCCTTATCTTTATCTGCCATTGGCCCGTATACCTCTAATATGTTAATATCCACCGGTGTTGCTCGAATTTGTAAAAGCATCATTCTATCTGAATGGGGAGTGAAAGAGTTTACTACCGAATTAATTTGTGGGGCAAATATTATTGCGTTGCCGTTTCTGTGATATGTTTGTTGTGTTGTTTCCAGCATAGTAAAATTTATATCCAAGTATATCGCATTGTCCAGAGTTTTGCCAATGTGTTTCACTAATTACCAATATATCAATTTTTAATCTTTTCATCTCTTTTACAATGTTATGAGTTTTGCCGCTCTCGTACATACTTCGTACATTCCAAGTTCCAATCCTTAGCTGTTGAGGACTTGCTTCCTTTTTTAGGCCGTAGGGATTTCGCTGGCTGACGACCAGGAAGGCTCTACTATTTGTTTGTGTGCATCCTCCCCTGCAGGGTCTTGGGATCCGATCACCATAATCAGTAATGTTTTTTTATCGTAGTGTATTGCCATGATAACTATTCTAGGAAATTCTTATGGGGTGGTTTTCCGTTGCCTTTCCCATCGCAATGAAATTATCGCCGGTTAGTATATATAAGCAGAATGTTCCAAAAAATATTTAACGGTGGTTTGCAAGCAAACCAAATACATTTACAAAAATAATTTAAAACAAACATATACAATATACAAAATAATAAATAAAATGATTAGTAAAATTTGATTTTTTTTTCAGGAAAATACAGGGTAGATGATGTTATGCAAGAAGAAAGAGAAGACTGTTATTTAGCAACTCTGCACATCAAGGATACTTCATCAACTGACTCAAGAGCTTACTATCTAGCAGTTGAAAACGATAAAGGGACTGATCGACATGCAGTTCAACTATATGTAAACGGTAAATATATTATTTTGATTAGGCGTTTTTTTACCTAAAGTAGAAAACTATTTGGTACAATTGGGATATATATATATATATATATATATATATATATATATATATATATATATATATATATATATATATATATATATATGTATATATTTTAAGAGAGGATATCCAATACGATTGATTAGAGCAATAAAAAAACTAAAATAATTATAATAAATTTTTAATTAATAATTAATTAAACTCGGTTTCAGAATTTGTTTTAAAAACAAGTATTACCTTAATAGACATTCCTTTGCCTAGAGACATTTCTGTGAGGGTATTTATTGAAAGGTTTGCTGTATGTGGCGTAGCACTGTAGCGTATTTTATTGTGGAAAGTCAAGTTCTTGCATCGCTGTCTACAGTCTATCCCTGCATACTATATCAAATGTATGTTAATCTTTATTTAATCATCCTACTATGTCTTCGTCTTTATTTTCTTAATAACCTTCTAAGTCCCCAAAAATTAAAATATGTCCTGCCTTTTCATTATCTAGTAAATAGCTTAGTGTCTCTAAAAATGTTATTTCTCTTTTGTGGTTGCATTGTCATTCAATTACACATTTTAGCAAAATAATGTGGAAATTCTTCTGTAATAATAATTTGCAACTTCAACTTCGAAAGCGCATGGTTAAATGCTACATTTGGTCAGTCCTCTTATACGGTGTCGAAGCATGGACATTAAAAATATCCACCATTAATCATCTGGAGGCCTTTGAAATGTGGCTACACAGACGTATACTAAAAATTCCATGGACGTCTATGCTGACAATTGTGGCAGTCCTTGAGAGAGCAAATGCTGCTCGCGAGCTGCTTGATAACATCAAATCTAGAAAGATGGCCTATTTTGGACACGTAGTAAGGTGAGACCGATATAATATTCTTCAATCTATTATGATGGGTTAAATCAAAGGACGCAGAGGAATTAGTAGAAAGCAGGCCTCTGGGTTGAAGAATATCAGGGAACGGACAGGAATAAGGAAAGCTGAGCAACTCTTTAGAATAGCTCGAGACGTTGTTAATCGCCAACGTCAAGAGGACTTTATAGGACACGTTAAGAAGAAGAATGGGGAAATAAAATATCACGTCATATAAGAGAAAATAAAATATTTTTTTACCAGAAATTGCCGAGGAACAACTAGTTTTTTGTGTCAAGCCGGAGCATTAAAGAACAAATATAAACATATTACTGATTGATATAGGTTAAATGCTCGAATAAATGATTTTTGATCAAATGAAAAGGCAGATATCTAGCACAGTTTGTACAATGTATAAAAATGTATAAAATATAACTAGGTATCATCATTTTTTGTGCATTCATGTTGTAAAGTTAATAATAAACAAGATAATTTAATAATCATGCTCTCCTTACCCTTCCACCATTTTTTTTTTTTCAGAAAATATTGACTGCACGAAAAAATTGTGGGAAATCGCAATTACAGCAATTTAAATTGTAACATTTTGTCGAAAGGTTTAAATTGGCCAAGATATTAAACAAAACTAATTTCTATATAAATAATTCCCGTAAGGTCTTACGTTCGCGCCTTTACCATATACGTACGACCTCAAATATTTATTTTAACAAAAAATCATAGCGATTAAAATTGTATAAAATATAATTGTATTTTTTTTTATGTTCATTTATTTCGTAAACTTATTTGAAAATTAGACTTTATCCCTCCTTCCTGCCACTATTTACCCCTTAACGCGGAAAATATAGACTGCATGAGAAAATTTATAAAAGAGAATTTGTAGGAAATCTCATTTGCAACAATTTCCAACTGTACAATTTTTGTCAAAAAGTTGCAAATGGCGCAGGTATTGAGCAAAAACGGATCTTCCTTAAATTCAACATGGGGTCTAACGCAACGGTTCTATTCAGTCGCGATTTTAAATTTACACCACCATTGACTCCTCCTATAAGTTCTTCTTCGTCTACTTTTTCTTTTTATGTAGACATAACTCTGTCTGTTTTTTAACGTGCCTCCAGTAAGTTTTCGTTCATCGTTTTCATGGACTTCTTACTGATCTTCCTATTGAGGAAACGCCTCTTGCCGTCTTTACTTCTCTATTTGTTGCCATTCGGCTTACATGATCGCTTCATTCTACTCTTCTATTTCTTATTAAGTTCTTGATGTTTTCCACCTTGCAGCTACGTCACATATCTGTACTTCTAGCTCTGTCCTATTGTTTTGTCATCAATTTTTATAAGTGTTTTTATCTCTGTTTTTAACATCCTTCTTGTTTTCTCTCTGTCAGGCCGTGTTTTTGCCGCGTATATCATTATTGGTCTGATATCTGTATTGTAAATTCTGCCTTTTATTTTTTTTCCAATACTTTGATTTTTCCATATTGTATCATTTAGACAACATGCGACTTTGTTTGGTCTATTCACTTGATCTTCTACTTCTGTTTCGAGTTTTCCGTAGATAGGTAGTGCGATGCCTAGATATTTAAACTCCATCACATGTTATATTATCTGACCTTCCAGCTCTAATTCACATTTTAGTAAATTTGCTGTTATAACTATGCATATTGTCTTCTTTGGGGAAATTAACATGTTAAATTTTCTGGCGGTTATAATAAATTGCTGCAGCATACGTTGTAAATCATTTTTACTTTAAGAGAATAGTATTGCGCCGTCTGCATAGCAGATTATTTTAAGTTGTTTATCTCCCATTTGGTATCCTTTTAAGTTATTACTTTTTTTTTATTATTTCTTCCATAGTCAAGTTAACCAATAGAGGACTCAGGGAATCTATCTTATTACATTGCCAGCTTCAATATGGTCGATTAGGTCTCCTTCTAGTTTTACTTTTATTGTGTTATTTTAGTAGATATTTTCAATCGTTTTGCTGCCCGAGAGGTACTGAGATGCATACAATTGTAGTTGGAGCGGTTTGGGTGCGGTTACCATGAAAATCGCGTTTTCGGACCGCCCACCGTGGTAAGAAATACCGGATCACTGTAGTTGAGGGTTAACGCTTCCTTTACCTCTTCCTCCTCAATATTTATTTCTTCATTTGTCGTCACCTCTGGTGTTGGTGCTTCATTATCGTCACCTGTAGCAAATATGGATCGAAAGTAGACTGTCCATGTTTTCTTCTGAATGTGTTTTATTTTTATTAGTTTGTTCATCTTTTTTCTTTGTCCTCTGATTATTTTTCATATTTCTTTTTGTGTTCCGTAGAAGTCATGTTTCATCTCTTTTGAGAAGGTTTGCGTTCCTTTTTAATTTGACTAAATAAAGTGTTTGCCCAATTTCTGATTCGTTTATAGTGTGCCTGATGTGTTTGTTGTGTTTGTATTGTAAAAAGGCTTTCTACTGTTCTTCACATTTTGTCCTCGCTTTCTTTTTACACCATGGTGTTTTCTTTTTTGATATGTTAGCGTTAGAATAATAAAATTTGAAGCAACTGGTTATGCAAGGTTGGGCGTTTTTTTTTTTCGTATAACCCGATTGGCTCTTTTTTTTAACATCCAATGTTTATTTCACTCTGTCTCATTACAAAACAGGTAAGACCTAATATTATTCATTTAATTTATATATATTTAGGGATTTTACAGTATTAACTGCCTTTTCTCGCTCAACCGTTTCCATCTCTTTCTAATGTCTCATTTTCCATCGTTTAGGCCCCTCTTACTCATAGCGTCGTCTCCCTCGTTCCTTTAGGATCTTTGGGGTCGTCCTCTTTTCTTCCTTCCCATGGAGCTACATTCGGTTATTATCTTTATTCATCTGCTGTCGCTAGTTTTTCTTACATGTCCATACCACTTTAGTCTTTTTTGTTCTATATGATAGTACGTCTGTTTCTATTGATGTTCTTTGCTTTATTTCGTCTTTACTTCTCCTATCTATTCTTGTTGCTTTGCAGCATCTTCGCAGGCATTCCATCTCTGTTGCTAATATTTTACTGCTGTTTTTCTTGTTTATAATCCAATTTTAAGCCCCATACGTCATAATACTTCGCACTAATGTTTTATAAATCTGTGTTTTTGTTTTTTTTTACTAACTGCTTTGCCTACTATGCCTAATTTCTTCCTCTGTTGTTGCCTTTTTGTCACCAATCTGTTAATCTTCTATGTCTTCTTCACTTGTAGATAGGTACTCTGTTTTCGCGAGGTTAATATCTAGGCCAGCCTTGGTATATTATTTCTGTAGTTTCTTTATCATGTAGCTGAAGTCGTCTTGGTCTTGTGCAATCACTACTTAATCGTCTGCAATGATTAGTGTATATAGGCATTCGTTCCGTACCGATAATGTCATGCCTTCGCATTTTCTTTTCCATGTAGTCCAGACTACTTAATCGTCTGCAATGATTAATGTATATAGGGATTCGTTCCGTACCGATACTGTCATGCGTTCGCATTTTCTTTTCCATTTAGTCCAGGCTTTCTCTAAGTATATTTTAAATAGCGTTGGAGATGTGGAACAATCCTGCAGGAGCCCTTTTGTTGTAATGAGGTCTCCTATGATTCGTGTTTCCACTTGAACGGACACTTTATGTTCTTTATAGAGAGCTTTTGAAGCTTCTATGAGTTTCGTCTGTATTTATAATTTTTACATTGCCTCCCACAATTCTGACCTTGGTAGAGAGTCATACACCTTTCTCAAGTCGACAAATGCCAAATGTATATCTCTATTTTTTGCTTTTTATCTTTTCATAAAACACAGACTGGAACAGTTGTTCCAGTGTGTATATGTGGTCTATGCATGATCTTCTTGCCGTGTAGGTCTGCCTGATTTTCCCCGATTTTATCTTTTATCGCTTGCTCTATCTTCTCTCGCAGTATCTCTAAGTTGTCGGTAATTATTTACGCAACTGTAGTATTTCGAGACAAAGAAATTGTTTGAAAAGCCTTTTCAGGACAACAATTTCTGCAGATTTAATTACACATTTCTTAATAAAATTCTGATTTAGTGCCATCTAACTCCTTCACACGAACACATACAAAATTTTAAAAACTATACATATTTTACTGCTTAATAGAATTAAAAAAAATAGGAGTACTCTAAAATAAAAATCAAGACTAATTGTAAAATTCATTTGGAAGAATACCTATATAATGAAATCCTTTTCTTTTCTCGATTCAATAAAAAAGTACAATTATAATCCGAACTGACAAGTTAGACATATAATTTAATTAAAAGCATTCAGAAGTATACGTTTCTGACGTTCGTTGTTAGGTAACTGTTTCTTTTTTCAGTTCGAGAAGAAAACGGCCACCGTCTTTAAATATGGAAAAATTTCAATCTTTATTAAGTATTCGGAATATTTTAATTCTGAAAAGTTTTCTTTATAGCCAAGGGTGTTGATTT